CCTAAGGATGTGCTAAAATAGGCTTCTCCAAATAGGATTAAGAAACCTTATGTCTTCCAACTCCTTAACCTTCCAGAAGTCCTAATGCATTCAATGAAATTTAGGATATTCTTAAAAGATATTCATGAAAGTTGGTGTATATCTACATAGTTTTTTTATGGGGGATCAGAATCCTTGGTATTAAGTAAACCCTTTTTCTTTGGGAATAAGTCATTAAACACATTAAAAATAAGGGACACATTTTTCTCATTTTCTAATCCCTAGCTCTTAAGATTACTCAAATACACGATTCAAATATCAGTTTTCTGACTTGAGCGTTGGAGTGTCTACACCTGGCCCCGTCCTAGCGCTTTGCAGGTCGATCCAGTTCGTGAAGTGAAGACATTCGAGATGTTCGAACTCTCACCCAATTGAGATGGGGCGGTTCGATCGCTAATATCGGTACATCAATCTTTTGACTCATCAAATAACATTAATGGCTGCTAGATATGAACAACAACAGAGATGATTGTCCTCTTATTTGTTTTAGAACAATATTCAAAATTGAGCCATTAACAAAATGTGAAAAAAAAATGAATAAAAGACGAGTTTCGGACTCCTCAGTCATCAAAAAATACATAGCTTACTAACCACCTTAATTTTGGACGGAAAACGACTATATATTGTCGAAGGAATACGAACTTTTATTGGAGAGGGTTGTCCATCCGTCGGCGAAGTTCGTCACGTCTTTCGCAGGAGTTCGTCACGTCTTTCGCCATTCATTGAAGTTGAACCTGCAAGGAAAAATAAAACGGAAGCCGACGGGGGGAAAAGGAAGGGGAAGGATTGACGAGGATGGTGTTTGGGTGGAAGAAGAGTGAAGGAAAATATTAAAAAAAAAAAATGAGAGATGATTGTGTAGTGGGTTGATGTGATATTATTAATTGATTTATATACTTTTTTAATGGTAAGTAATTAAGTGGAACAAATTAGGCCTAGTTTGATAGGCAAGATAAGACAAGATTAGGCCTACAATCTTGCTTAATCTTACATTTGTTATCCAAGATTACGGCCCGCATGATAGGACTTGGCCCGAGATAAAAAAGCAATTAATCTTGCATATTCAAGATAAAACGATCTTGGGAAGAAGGTGAGATTTTCTTCATCTGTACAGTAATCTAATAGGCAAATGTCAAAATTGTCCCCCGCATCTGCCCTCCTCCCAAATTGATATTATTTTTTTATTGAATGAAGGGAGAAGAAAGAAAAATTGTAGATCTACGCAATTGTTGCAGTCCAGTCATTCCCCGTCGACAGCCGTAGGGCCACCCGTCGTCATCGACCCGACCCAAATCCCCATCCCCCGTAGCTAGAACACACTCTTGTCATCCCTCTCCCTCCGTCCAGCGACACCCATCCGCTGTCGTCTCCCCCTGCTCTGGCACAACTTTTTGTATTTTACACACACTACACAGGACCCGTACACGAGCGGAGACGACGGCGTCGTGATTCCGCCAATCCTTTATGTCTCCTCCATTGGTGTATCATTTTCCTTTTTTAGAAAAAAAAAAGAAAAATTGGGGAATCAATATCGGAAGGATTTTGGCCTGCTTGCTGTTGAATTAAATATGAAGAGAACTTTGACAAATTTATCTCTAATTTTTTAAATGTTGCTTTTTGAATGAAAAATAGTAGAAAATCAAGAAAAATATCTCTTTTGTTTTGGGTTAAAAATTTGTTGTTTTTCATCGAGTGAAGAAATAAAACTAATGTTAATAATTAGGTGTGCTAGGGCATTAGGTGAAACGCACCTCCTAAATAGGCGCGCAAATTCATTTTAATTTTTTTATCCTAACCACGCGCAGAGTAGGTAACAAAATATATTCACGCGCCTATTTAGGAAGTGCGTTTCACGTGGTTATCTATGAACATGTTTTGTTACCAGATGAACATGTTGCTTTCTCAAATGCACATGTTGATTAACGCGATGAATATGTTGATTTTGTACAGGATGTATATATTGGTTTTGTTTGCTTTCGCAGATGAACATGTTTATTAACGCGATGAATATGTTGATTTTGTACAAGATGTATATGTTGATTTTGTACGTAATATGTTTCTTAACATGATGCATATGTTTCTTTGTAAAATGAACATGTCAACTTATAAGATGAACATGTTATGTTATAAGATGAATATGTTTTATTATCAGCTGAATATGATAAATTATAAGATAAACATGTATCTTTTCCCAGATGAACATTTAAAATTTCGTAATAAATAGTGGGAATTAAAAAAAATACCATAAAATAGGCGCGTGTACTTCAGGGATAGCAAATATTTTTGGATTCCACATTTATTATCTTGGCCCGCGCGTGAATTTCTGCCCTGGCACACCTTGCTCACACAATAGTAGTACTGCACACACATTTGAAGAGTATGTGAAATGGTGAATTGGGAAAATAAAAGATGAGTTTTTTGCCAAAATTGAATGTGCAGGTGAAATGGATCTTGACTTTGGATTATGCTTGATTTTTTTTTATTTTTTTTAGAAATCACAAATGGGAAAGTAAAAATCGATAAAAATAAGGGTAAAATAGACAATATATAGTTATATCATATGTCTTATCTAATGAAACAAACATTGTAAGAAATGAAACATTGTCTTATTTGAACTAATAATCATGTATAACAAATATGGTATAATTTTATCTACACCGTACAATCTACCCTTTCCATATTAATTTACTCTAATCTCATCACATGAAACAAACGTGGGCTTAATTGTATTAAGAAATGCAATGGGAAAAAAAATTAAATTGAAAAGAAATTTAAGGATATTTTAAATTAGTCACTAGTAGGGCTGAGCATGGGACTCGAAGAATTCCGAACCATTCCGAAAACCGAACCGAAATCACTCCGAACCGAAAAATAACCATTGACCGTTTGACTTACTCCGAACCGAACCAAACCAAAAAAATAATTGGTACGGTTCTGGAGATTTTACAAATATCCGTACCGAGAACCGAGCCGAACCGTCCCGTACTATACCGAACCGAAAAACTGAAATTAAGAACCGAATTACAAAATTAGATGCGTTATTAATATATTATATGTCAATTTTGATTCTATATAATATATTAATAAATATTAATCTTTCACTTAAATTT